ATCTTACAGGTTTTCTTCGTAAAATAACCTCTAAAGAGCGCGGAGCATTTTTCTATTTAACGAAATACTTTCTTATGATACGATCTTTTTCTCCGTATTTTTTAAAATACCGTATTTACTCAAATCTAAGTCGCACTTTTTCCTAATGTTAATGCTACTGAAAATCAGGTGCGGCTTAGATTCGAAGGGATTTTTTTTTGAATGGGGTATTTAGAGCAATTACAGATTCATTCATGTGTTTATGACACTGATAAAATAACTAATTATTCACTCCAAATTAGTTTTGCTAGTAAATTTATTTTAATTTCATAAAATTGGATATCGATAAACCATTTTAGAATATTTTTCAATTTTCTCAAAATCTTGTGGAGAATTTTGGGTGAGGCTTAGAATCGATGGTGGCTTAAATTCGAATAAATATGGTATTTCTAGTCCTTCGTATGATGGAATGGTTATTAGGTCTTAGTGAAAGCGGTCACCCTAAAAGCTCTTGGCGGTCCACCGGTCGATCGCGATCGACTCAATGCTCACTCCGGACAGATAATAGAGGGTTATTAGTTATGTTGTTTGATTAAATAAATAATTGTGATTATGGAATTCTCTGGTTCTGCTTTCATTCTTTCTACAACCTTAGGTAGGCAAGACAGTGAGAGAGCAACTTCGGGTGCAAATCGCTCACAACTTGGATGCCTTAAATGCCACTCTTTTCGATGCTATTATTTGTATGATTTAACTGCAATATATATGAGTATGTTTAAGTGTGTTGTATTTTATTAGTAGTATTTTATGGAATATTCGGATAAATCATGTAAAATGTCTGCATTTGTTTTCTAAATTTTTAGCTTATAGTTCCTTCTCATAAATTCCATAGATTATAATTATACAGTCGGACCTCTATATAACGAAGTCGCTAAATCCCGAAAAAAGTTCGTTGCATGGAAGATTCGTTATATAGAGGTCCATCTTCCAATTTTCTTTATAAACCACATAAAACAAATTTTAAATTCATAAAAAGACTATATATTAAAAATTAATTATTCGCGTATTTTTGGTAAATTAATAATTATTTATTTGATGTATCTTACCTATAAAAAAAAAAAAGAAAAACTGCAAGGAAACTTTCAAGACGCCTTTATCCACTTCCTAACTAATTTAATTTTTTTTCTTTGATGATCAAACATTTACGTTTTGACATTTTCGAGCTACAAGATGCGAAGTTCCCAGTACAACTGATGAACACTGTAAATGGACAGAGACTAGTTCAAAGACACGAGACAACTTCACTGAGTGGGAAAGAGGATATCGAAGATGTTTCAGTGAACTGGACAGTGTGGGTTAAAGGTTGCACTGCTTGGATGAAACGTCCAGAATCCTATTCTACTCGGTGAGTTGGGCACCTAATAAAGCCACTTCAAGATTTATGACCAACATAAAATGTGTTAAAAGAGTGAACAACTAGAGATGCTCAGAAATATTTCATTTTTCTAAAAAAAAAGGGAGGTGAAAAATTGAATCTCAAGAGAAAAAGTTCGTTATATAGAGGTTTGTAATATGGAGGTTGGACTGTACTTTGATCTCACACATACAGTCTTTTATAATTTGATTCTGGTTAAATTTACCACACTTGTGTTATGTGATTTTCCATTCAATTCTTGGGGAATCCAAATGTAGAACTTCTTAACGAGTTTTTAGGTATCTTGGTAACGGCTACTACTGAAGATTCATCAGGGCGTTTTGGTGATGAAAATGTCCACAATGAAATTTTTTAAATCAATTCTAAGTCATACGTTCTGTTAAGCATTCAATATCGTAAACTTCACATACGAGGTGTGGGCAAAAAAACCCGACACTGGTCTAATAAATTGTTGTACACTCATGGACAAAAAAATTAGCGCACCAAGAAGGAGTCGTCAAAATGAAACGAAATTTTACATACGTAATGACTACTTTGATATAAGTAAACGATTAGAAAATCAAAGAAAAAGGATAATTAATTTCAGACAAAAGGCAAAAGAACAGAAGATTTAATACCCGTTGAAACCCCTCTAGCGTGAATGCACGAAGCGATACAATCGGGCATTGAGACATACAAGTTGTGTATGATGTCTTGAGACATTTCGTTCCGTATTTGTTGTAACCGTGCCTCAAGTTCGTTCAAACTCATGGGATGCCCAACTAGCCGTCCCAAATGATCAGAGATATGGTCGATTGGAGCCAAATCTGGGGATCGCGCAGGTCAAGGAAGGGTAGTTGCAGTGCGGAGACAGCCTTGTGACACCTTTGCAGTGTGAGGCCGAGCATTGCCATGGTGAAAAATGGCACTTGGGAGTCGTTGCATGAATGACAATACATGTGGTTGCGGGCTGTCATGGACATACGGCTGGGCTGTTTATGGTGCCATGGATCAATACTAGGGGGGACTGTGTATTGTTGGCAATGACACCCCATACCACACCAGCTGTGGGAGCGGTGTGTCGCTGTAAAGCAAAGGCAGGATTAAGGCGTTCACCACGGGGTCTCCACACACGAACACGATTGTCACCCCTGCTGAGATTCAATCTGGATTCGTCGCTAAAGAAGCCTTGGTTCCATTCAGCTGCAGTTAAGTTTCCTCGTGCACGGCACCACTCCAAACGGAGGCGTCGATGGGTGAGCGTCAAGGGCAGCGCACGTAATGGGCGCCGCGATCCCAAATGTCATTCAGCCAGGCGCCTTCGTGTGGTTCGAGAAGACTCATAGGCCCCTAGCAAAGGAAGCCCTGTGCTGGATAGCGGCCGATGAAGCAGTGGTCTGTAAGTGTGCATTTCTTACGATGTGGCAGTCTTCCTGACGACTGGTCTGTTGAGGGCGTCCTGAGTCTGGTCTTCGTGTAAATGACATCTTTTGGATCCACTGATCTCAAAACCTCCTCATAACACAGAGCGGCCTAATTGACGAGCTACTCGCCTAGCTCCCCACCCAGCTTCCATCATGCCGATGATTCTCTGCCTCTCAAACTGTGATATCTGCTCATATTGTCTTCGAAAACAGCGTAATGGTATGTCTACCTCAGCTGTAAACGATTCAGCCCATTCAAATAAGCTTTGCTTACCTGTTTTATACTCCACGGAGAACGACTTTTAATGCCGTCTACCGGCTATACGTAATGCGCAATCACTCTGCATTTCTAATCATTTGCATATCTTCCCGACATGTACCATCATGGGAAAGTTTCATTACGATCCCGCAATTATTTCTTTGGTGCGCTAATTTTTTTAGTCCATGAGTGCACTTGCAGTATCAGTTCTCCGTGACAGTATCACCTTCAAAGTGATAACGGCTTCAGTATTCTCACACTTCTGCATTCGGGGCTAGCATATCTGGTAAGAGTTCTGGAACGAGGTTTTCGGAAGGCCCTTCAGGAGATTCTTCGTTTTTGCGTGATTCTCTTCAACTGAGGTAAAATGGGTTCCTTTTGAGATAGATTTAACTGTACGAAATAAAAAAAAAGTCACATGGTGTCAAATCAGGTGAATGAGGATGCCTCAGCACAGTAATGTTTTTTTCTGGTTAGAAACTGACAGGTAAAGCCATGTGAGCGGGTGCATTGTCTTGGTGCAGCAGCCATCTATCATTTTCCTATTTTGGCCTTATTTCCTAAATTTTTCGTGAAGTTTTTTTAGTACTTTAATTTAGTAGTGTTGATTAACAGTCTAAGAACTGATGCGAGTGGGAACCCACTTATATCACGAATTTTGACGATGTTTTGGTGGGAAATCGCTGACCTTTGGCGCCCAGCAGGTTCATCATCTTCCACGCTGATCCTTTCTACTGAAAAACGCTTACATCATTCTAACACATGTGCACTAGACAAAATTTCATCTCCATAAGCCTAGGTTAATGTTTACAATGTTTTCTTGGCTGATTTCTTCTCAAGAAACTTGATGTTGATTCGACATTTTTTTGGCAGTACGCAGTTGCACGAGCTCACTCAATCACGCAGTACTCCCAACTGGCGTGATCGATGAAGGCGCAACTGGCCACATGGATAGAGATGGTGCGTGAGTTGTTGTCAAACGGTCAACGTCACCAAAACAGTTGTTGCCAACTCCATTCCTTTTTTAATTTACACACTTATTCTCGTTTTTTTGTATCAAGCGTTGTATCTCTTTGTGGTCCTGAACCAATTTCTTGTCTTTATGTAAATAAATAAAAAAAAAGAAATACATCAAAAATGCTTATTTTTACACTCCATGTTAAAATTGACCTTAAATTAACAGCTGAAAACATAATTAACCGGACTGAGTTTCTATACCGACCAAAAAGTGTCAACTGTCAAATGATAAAAGAAAGAAATTATAACATTGACAGAAGAATAATAAAACACACATAACGCTATCTATTTGTGCAAACCGAAATTACTTTCTTTCCAACTCAATATAGAGCTCTCATATGGATCCAAATGTGTCTGTATTTGTGTTTAGTCTATGGTAATAATATAAATAGGATTCATAGACCCCAAAGCAAGTTATGAGCAAGAGAATAAATATTTTACGTGCGTGGATGACTTTTAGGGAAGGTATAAAACTTCGCCGTCTTTTGAGATTGTTTTTATTATTTCATCTCTTGCTTTTCTTTCAGTAAAACTATATTTATATAAGTGAAATAAAATATGAGACACACATGAAGAATTATAATGTTTGACTCCCAGAATTGAACGTGGGAATGAAAGAGTAGTAGAAACAAGTAATATAAAGAATTTTTTTTTAAAGTCAATTCCTACTTAGGTCAACAAAATTTTTTAAATTTTATTTACTTTTTATTAAACAATTAAAATTAATATAAATATGTATGTACATATGACAGAATCACAATATTAAGTGGAAAAATAAAAAATGATTTTCTATGTATGGTATTAACTATTATTTTTGTTGTGGTTACTATCTATTAATTAATTCAATTTAATTATTCCTATAAAATAGTTTTGTAAAAAGGAAATCACATTCTCAGAGAAATTAGGTCCTCCCAGGTGGAATTCGAACCCACGACCTTTGGATTAAATGTTCAACGCGCTTTCCATTGCGCTACAGGGACACAACGAATGATTTTCCTTTTTATATATTGTGTTGGAATATTATTTTTGTTTGTTATTATTTATTAATTAATTATTCAAAAATTAATGAACTAATATTTGAAAAACTGTATTAACATCAAGTGTCGTTCAATACAAGTTTAAAAAATGTATTTGAACTTAAGAGGATGAATAAAAAGTATCTTATCAACGATTGAATGTATATATATATACATATAAGAAAAGTGGGAAAGTGTGAACTAACAGTAGAAATTGAAAAACAGTAAAAAGAAAATCTCCGGAAACGAAGCATGTATTCTTTATCCTTCATTGATTTATATCAAAAGTAGTAATGTTAGAGATGAATAAAAAATCCCAGTTAGTATTTTTATTATTTTACTATAGCACCAAAAACAGTTAGCAATATTTACTAATTTGAAACTTACTTTAATACTTTTACTCGATGTTGAATTTTGAGCACTTTAAAATAGGATGAAGCAATAAATTTGAATGACAATTACCCCCCTACAATATCTTTCTAATTACATGAAAGAATTATCCCTCCCCGCGTCTGGAGATACCGTATCCTAGTGGTAGTGGATATATTGGATATATATATATATATATAACCCTCCAGACCAACAAATTTTTATTTTCCACCATAGATATTACCCCTTAGTGCTTTCTTCTACGCGTTTTTTAGAATGTAATATCCCTTCCATAAGAGAGGTATGTATATGTTACCGTTAAAGTGTGAAATCCGTTATTTCATAGAATAACTAGGTATTTCATGAAATAATTATACAAGTCAGTTAAAGTGTATAAAATTATTGAATTCTACTTCTTAACTTGGTATTCTATAGATTAACGATTACTTGATTGGTAAAGTATGAAATACTGCACTCGAAAGTTCTTTGAACCGGTCTAGTTGCTTTTAGTCAATTTTGAACCGTAATCCAAAGTATCATTACTGTAATTCTTGCTCTAATAAATGAACAAAAAGTAAAATAAAGGTGTTTCATAAAATATATATTAGTATTCTCTTACAATTTTGTTTGAAAAAGTTTACACAATGTTTTTGTGATGCAACAGTTTTTCTTCCCGTATGTGTTTATTTTTAAAATAATATTTAAATATAACTATTTCTGTGCAAAACACACATATTCTTTTTTTCCCTTTCTGTTTAACTAATGTTAGCAATATAAGCAAAAAAAATTATATCATTTGCTTTTCATTATTATCAATTAATCACCCGAAATAGGATGATAAAGTATATTTTTCGAGAGATTTTAGCTGTTTAAGATCGATTAATTTATAAAATTACTTTCAAATTTCTATTTTTTCACTTTAATGGTTTATCATGACTTATTTCTCAGAATAACTAGGTAAAATATGAGATTTTTTATCTATTGTATACTTTAACTGACTTTGCCAGTTAGTTCTGTGTGTGGAATAACTGAATTATACACTTTAATGGCAACTTTTATACTACTGGATACGCCCACCGCAGTTTGGTAACTTGAAAGAAAATATTTCTAAAACATACTTTTAATCCCACCCAGTGAGCAAGGTAACATCATACAATATTCAAACAGGGATTTCTTTTTACTCATTTTGTGATATCTATTCATTGCAAGCAAACTTAACTAATATAACTAACCCGTAATGTGTTTCTATCAAACAATACGATGACAAAAACTAATATTAACGCACCGTGAAAATAAATAAATTATGAAAAATTCAAAATAGAAGCTAATATTACAACATTGGACTTGCAAAACAGATAGACTAACACTTGTTAAACAAATCTGATATCCCAGCTATCGATTGAGTGTATTGAAATCCAATAAATCGAAGTGAAGAAAATTTAAGCTAAGGAAAATAAAGTAAAGGAGAAGCGTGTTCTTGCTTTTTGCATGTATGATATTGAATTTAACATTTTCTTATTGAATGAAACATAAATTTTTTTGACTAACAAGATATTTATATGATTTGCTGGTGAAACAGAAATATGTAAATATTGGCATTATTTAAATCGACTAAATGCGGAAGTTATTTAGCGAGGAAGATTTTGATTTTAACAAAGAAATTCTTAAGGAATCCGACTACGTTCGAAAACGTTATTTAAAAAAAAGCGAGTAAATGGATAATTTTCATGACATTTAGTGTCATTTGGATTAGAATATATGTATAAAATTGTTTTAAGAATATTATTAGGATGAAAAATTATTTAAATGCAATATTTTGGCAAGAAATGGGAGAACTTAGAATTATCTATTTTCAAAATATTCTCCTTTGATGAAAAATGCTTCTATAAATATAATATTTTCCTTATATAAAGCAAAGATTTTTCCAGAGGGCTAGAACAAGGATTTTTGAAAAATTCACATTATTTTCAGAGTTAAGACCAATTGAAATAATTATCGGTGTCTTTTTCTTAAAATTTCTCTACTCTATTGTATTAAAATATGGACAAGTCCACTGCTAAGTTATAATTTTCGAAAATGCTAGTTCAGACTCTTTACAGAGATTGGAGCTAAGATAGGAAAAATATTATTATTATAGAAGCATTTTCCATATAACGAAAATATTTTGAAAATATGGAATTCTATGTTTATTTTTTGCCAAAATATTGCATTTAAATAGTTTTTTACTGTAACAATATTCTTAAAACATGGGCTCAATTCATGTGACGTCATAGTCACATGATAGTGAAAGCCACGTGATTCTAGCCAATCAATTTAAAAACTCATGCGACGTCATAGTCACACGATAAAAACTATCTAGTGTTTCCAGCTTATCAGCTCACGCGCTCACGCGCTCCCGTGTTCCCATGTTTTACTGTTTGCAGAAACTTTCTCTTAAAAAGTACATTGTATACAAAATGCATTTTATTTAAAAGTATAAACATAAAATATTATTTTTTTTAATTTAAAAAAAATCTTTTTGAAGAAATTTTTTTTCCTAACATTTAAACATCTTTACCCAAATATGAAATTAGAAACTTTATCTGAGTTTTACAAAAAAATAGAACAACAAGTACAATTAGTTTAATGTTTGTTGTACACGTGTTTGTTTTTATCATGTGACTTTATGAACTGAGCCCATTTTATACACGTATTCCAATCTAAGTGACACTAAATATCATAAAAAGTATCCATTTATACGCTTTTGCAAAACAACAGCTCCGAACGTAGTCGGATACCTTAAAGGTTGTGTTTTTTCCCATTTTTTGCTCTTTGGGGGTATATGGCACGTAGGAAAAGGATTGAAAGTCTCAATTTGAGAAGAATATGTATTCACTAATTTTTTTTATACAATATAAGCACGTTTGTAAAGTGTTGAATTTTTTTAAGTGTATTCTGCATGACATCAGATATATAGAATGGACGATTAGAGATAGTTTTAGAATGCTCACACATAGTCAAGGCGCGATGACAAACAATAAATAAATGAGGGATTTTCAATAAACTATTGATCATGAGTTCTCTCAAAGTCCCGATTTTATTATGAACTGCAGTATAGGGTAAGGGCAGCGTTTCTCAAACTACGGGAAGCACCTCCCTAGAGGGTGTGATAACTCTTCGAGGAGGGAGCGAGCCTATTGAAAAGTCGAAAACAAAAGATTATTAAAAAAATATTAATTTACTGAAAACAAACAAATATACATTCCGACATAATAACAAATAAAATTAACATTTACACTGATACAATACTCTTATAAATGTCTCAGTACTTCTCAAGGAATTTTATAATTATACTAAGTGAAGACTAAGTTAAGAACACGTTTAATAATTACCAGTGACCCCATGGGCTTGTCATATATAAAATTATCTACAAAAATCAACACTTATCTTGATAATTTGTACGATTTCTAAAAAAAATCCCTTAACTGCCGATTAAAAGTTACGCAATTCGCTCCCTAATTCTTCCTTTTTCCACGTAGGCGTGCGTATGGGATGGATTGGGAGGGGGGAGTAAGAAAGTAAACAAGCAAATCCTGTGATACAGAGTGTTTTTTTTTCCAGGTACAGAAGTTTAAGTTGGCATTACTTTCCAAGATGGCGACCGATTTAACAGCTGTCAAGTGATTCATTCTCAGTTTGGTTTGGCAATTCATCATGAATAGACTCACGCCTGAGCAAAGCTTTCAAATTGTGCAATTTTATTTCGAAAATAATTTTCGATTTTCATAAGGGAATTTTGTTTAGCGATGAAGCGCACTTCTGGTTGAATGGCTACGTCAACAAACAAAGCTGCCGCATCTGGAGTGAAGCTAATCCACAAGTGTATGTCGAAACACCGTTACATCCAGAAAAACTGACTGTTTGGTGCGCTTTATGGGCTGGTGGAATCCTTCTTCAAAAACGACGAAGGCGACAACGTTACAGTCAATGGTGATCGGTATAGAGCCATGATTACTAACTTTTTCATTCCTGTATTGAACAATCATGATGTCCAGGAGCTGTGGTTCCAACAAGACGGCGCAACATGTCACACAGCTCGTGCCATAATCGATTTATTGAAAGACACGTTGGGTGACCGCCTAATTTCACGTTTTGGACCTGTGAACTGGCCTCCAAGATCTTGTGATTTAACACCGCTAGACTATTTTCTGTGGGGCTATGTAAAGTCATTGGTCTATGCGGATAAGCCACAAACGCTTGACCATTTGGAAGACAACATTCGCCGTGTTATTGCCGATAACGGCCACAAATGTTGGAAAAAGTCATCGAAAATTGGACGTCCAGATTGGACTACATCCGAGACAGCTGTGGCAGTCCTATGCCAGAAATCATATTTAAAATGTAATGCCACAAGATTATCTTTCGAATAAAAAAAATTCATGTCAATCGAATAATACATCGTTGTTTTATTGCAATTTAAAGTTCTATACCTCTAAGAAAACACCCTTTATAATTAAATTCTTCACAAAGACTGTCAAGATCCTTTTATTGCATTCCAAAGCCTTCAAAATAATGTTATGGATAGCAGTGCACTGAAAAGATCGTACTTTGGAAAG